GAGGACTTACGAGATTTGCTAAAAAATTGAAATTCTCGTTTAGGATTTGGGAGATTTGCTAAAAAATTGAAATTCTCGTTTAGGACTTGGGAGATTTTCTAAAAAATTGAAATTCTCGTTCACTGCCTGGGAGATTGAGATTTGGGAGTATGGGTAATGGTTATGACTATATGCCTTTATGGAAGATGATTGACGGATTGATTGATGAGCAGATGAGATGTTCCAAGTTTCAAATTCCATGGATATGGTTTGGGCCTGTCTTGTTATGGTTAGGACTTGGGCCGTTGGGTTTTGGGCCAGTAATTGTTGTGTTCCATAAGTTTTATTTAATGCCTGTGTTGGACTTGTTTAATTTATATGTACAGGTTCGGTTTTCGGTTCGGTTCGGTTAACCGAGAGGTTATATCCAAACCGAACCGAAAACCGAAATTTTAAAAAATTATAAACCGAAAACCGAACCAAATTTTCGGTTTCGGTTTCGGTCGAAACCGAATTTTCGGTTTCGGTCGGTTAACCAAAGTTTGTGCACCCCTAGTTAGAGAGGTCTCATTTATTTTCTGACCTTACTCGAGGAATTACCCCTCCTGCACATTATGTCATTCAAGGTAAAGAGTACAACATGGGGTATTATTTAGCAGATAATACATATCCCAAATGGACAACTCTTGTCCAAACTATTCGTGACCCATAGAGTCAGAAAAAAAATATTTTGCAATGAAACAAGAAGCATGCAGAAAGGATGTGGATCGTGCATTTGGAGTACTCCAAAGTCGATTTGCTATTGTGGCTAATCCTGCACGATTTTGAAGTAAAAATGACTTACAAGATATCATGACTGCATGTATTATTTTGCATAATATGATAATTGAGGATGAACGAGATCTTTCTGCACCGATTGAAGCTGCGATAGAAGCCCCAATCCCTGATGTTGAAACGGTTGGTAATGAAGCTTCTCAGTTCTAAGCATTTGTTGCTCGATACAAACAAATTCGAGATAGAGAAGCTCATATCGCCCTTCGTAATGCATTGATTGAGCATTTATGGGTGGAATTTTCTAATTCAGAAAATTAGTTGTAATGTTATTGTAATCGTTGTTTGTAATGTTTTTTTTTTTTTATTGTATTATGTAATTTGTATCCTTTTGTTTGAATTTATGAAGCATCTCGTGTTGTTATACATAATTTTTTTAATTACTATTTGGGTAATAAACATTTATATAACATTACATATTCATATATAACAAATTATGTTAAATAAAAATAAATAAAATATATTTTTATTATTTGAGTAATTAAAATTTTGTATAATATTAAATATACATATATACCAATTTATTTGAAATAAAAAATGAATAAAAAATAATACATTTAATGTAGAGTAAAATGTAGGGATAAGGGCTGGAGATGAATGTTCAACTCTATTCTAGAGTAAAGTAAAGTCCGCGCTAGAGTAGAGATAAGGGCTGGAGATGGCCTAACCATTTCGTAATTTCAGGTTACGTGTCATATTCACATTCTTTGATCAAAATATCTCGTAACTCCAGGTTACGAATCTCATATAAAGTTACGAATCTCATACACATGTGGCTATATAGTGGATCCATAATATCTAATAGGTGGACCCATATATATCGTACCACTTTCATAGTCAAATCGATCAAATATCGATTCACAAATATTTAGCTAGTAATAGTTTTCACCAATCGAGAACAAAATATCTCATATAAAAAAACATGCAAACCATCAATATTAATATCGGTAAATATTAAATTATTTCATATTTACCACAAACATATACATCATCTTTCGGCGGTAATAAATGCACTTCAAGTGCAGATTTTGACATATAATATTTTAGTCAATATTTAAAACCAGAATTGCATCACATGTGTATCATGAATTATGTTTTTATAGTCGTATCTAGCACTGTCAAACGGGCCGGTCCGGCCCGGCCCGCGGTCCAAACGGGACGGGCCAAAATGGCCCGCATTTCTGCGGGCTGGAAAATACATAGCCCGTGGCCCGCCCGCATTAGCCCGCGGGCCAAATTGGCCCGCCCACGGGTTTTGTTTTTTGTTTTTTGTTGTCTTTTTTTTTTTAATGGTATTTGCATTCTTATATATTTTATGGTTTCTTTATTCTTATATTTATTAGTATATTAATAAACTAGTAAAGTTTCATGTGTAATGATGTTAAATATTTGTCATCTAGTTTCTATTTTTATTTTTTTTATCAATAGTTATAGGGTATTCACGCGCAGGAACGACTTAATTGACATAAAATATTATTTGATTTATTAATATTTTTATTATGTAAAAAAAAAATGTTTCATGTGCAAGATAGAAATTAAAAATAAAATAAAAAATACTACATTTAAATAATTTATAAAAAAAAAAAGGGCCAGC